CTGGCAACCCTCGATAGTACACGCGACACGATCATTACAATCTACTGATCTGTGGCCCCTTCTAAGACAACAAAAACACAAACCCTTTTCTCTCGCTTTCGCCCACTTATCGTTGACTGCTAATGTGGCGAACTGGGAACATTTATCAATCCTATGATTTTCTTCGCATATAACACAAGGTGACCTGCCAACAATTTTACCGAACGACAATCCTTGTGTGGAGCAGGCCACCCTACTTACAACCCGTTTACTAGCTGTTGCAATCTGCCCGAATCTGCTGAGTAAAACTTCTGCTCTAGATGATACAAATTCTATTAACTCTGCAAAAGTAGGCTCTCTACCATTTGCTGTCATCTTTCCGACGGTTTCAACCCATTTCATCTGTAAAGCCGTGGGCAATTTCTTTACTATACTTTCTATAGTTACTACCGAGTTGAGATCCGCTGAATAATCCATTTGTTCTAAGGCTATAGAGCAATTTTCCATCTTTATCGCTAACCTAGATAGACTTTCTCCGTCGTTGTGTTCTATATTGGGACCTCCAGTCAAGTCGTTTAGCAAAGCCCGGCTTACTTCATGTGCTCTTCCAAACAACCGTTTCAGTATATTGCATGCTCTGCTATAGCCCGATGATGGCGGAAACATTAAGCATTCTTCTATGGCCTCTCGAGCTTTTCCTTTGCAATAATGTAACAAGTATAAAAGCCGTTGACCATCGTCTTCGACCTTCGATACCACATATAAATCAAATTGTCTGACAAATTTCCAATATTTGGCTGGTTGACCATCAAAAGTATTTAGTTCAACCTTTGGGAGCTCAAGACCCACACTTAGAGATGTCAAGGTCACTTCCCTCTTCTTCGCTCCAGGATGGTCTAACCGTTTTGACCTCTCTGGGGACTTGATTCTAATGTCATGAGGACTGCTTGAGAAACTGTGGACATACTCCTGTCCTCTGTCATCACAGTTGGAGACAGAAGATGCTTCACTACACGCGTTCTCTTTTAGTCTTAACGTCCCTAACTCTCTCTGAAGGCATAACAGCTGCTTTCTCTGCCTATCTTTCAAATCTCTAATCTCTACTAGTTGTCTTTCCCTCAACTGCTTTTCTTTTAACTCTGCTAGGGGGATGCTAGAGCTAATCTTGCTGTGCCTACTAACTAAACTAGTATTAGAGCCATGACATGAAAATGTATCAAAAGGGACTTGCCGTATATCAGGAGGCGCCTCTGTCTGCATTTCTTCATGACCCAACACCATGTTTCCGCTGATCTTGTTGCGCTTGCCAGGCATTGAAGTGTTTGTTACCAGTAATTACTGTTCGTTTGAGAACTGTTACGACCGAACTACCAGTATTCGGGCTGAACGTAGGGCTGACGAACCAAATTGTATTCGAATAGGTCAGACTACGATTTTCCGTATAGCACGCCAAGCGTTTTTGAGACGCTCGTATTAAATTATATCAAAACACAAATTCTGTGCTCAATTTATACGGTTCTAATTTAAGAAATAGAACAAATTATATCAAAAATACAAAATACCTCAAACGGTACAGCCTGTGCTATACAGTCAGAAGTTTCTCAAACGCAAAGTAGTGCGCTAAAAATAAAAGAAACAGTCAACACCAAAAATTTGATACCTGAGAATCAACAAATATATTCCCAACAAACGGGATCAAAATATCTATCTGCAGGGATACCAGAAATCCTCCCAAGCAGACAGTCAAAGGGTTATCAGTCACACAACGAGTTTTGTATGCGTTATCCAATATAACCTCTCTTTCTTCGAAATTCACGAGCAACAACTTCAAGGCTATCCTTGCTTGGGTTTCACCTCCAACCCAGTCACCTAGTCTTATTACTTTCGTCATATAAACCCCTGAAACCTCTTCAGGCAATACATTTCTGATGGCGGATATAATTAACTCCAAATCATTTGTATGTCGTTTGACAGGGCAATTGTCTTTCGACTCCTCTAGATTCCAAATAATTAAACTAGCAACAGATTTAGCTTCTTTGAAAGTCGTGCTCATGGCTTTTGATAATGTTATCAGCTCCTGCTTGTTAACTACTGGGAACTTGCCATCGGCTTTATTGTGGTAGGGTTGTGGGAGCCGAGCGAACGATTCACGACAATGTTTGACGTGGTCAAACTTTTCCCACCTACTGTAAGGTTAAATATTATCCTATGCTGGAGATTTGGCGAAGTGAACTACGACACAGAATATGAGTTCATGAAGGACTTTGCAGTAAAATGGGCACTGTTTTTGTCTATCTTTCCCATCGGTCGCAACATCCACATTAGAAGTACTCGCGAGGACAGCAATTTTATCTGGGTTATCAATCGTTGCTATGGCAACTTTGCCACCAGTATCTAATGGCATTTCACCCATTAAGTGCTTCGAGATAGAAATACTTACTGTATATTGCACAGCCGGGTTTTGTTGACTCGAAATCTGTCTCTAATTAGGTCGTATAGATGATTGTTGTTGATAATATACATATCGTCGGATATAATTAACGACGTAAGCCACGTTAGTGAATAACGTAATTATGATTGCTAAATACGGGAACAGATTTTTGAACACATATCTTATACAATTATTGATCCAGACAAACGATTGAAGAAATGAAGCGAAGAAGGCAAAGAGAAGAGAACTAAGCGAAATAACACGCAATAGGGAAAGTGAGTGAGTCAACCCCATTTAATCAAGCGTTAACCAATATTTATAACCTGACAAAAATAGGTTACGGACATGTGACGAATGAGGTAAGAAGTGTACACACGCATACGCTCCTATAAAAAAATGTTTAAAATTGATAATTAAATAGTAAACAAGGTCAAAATGTGACTCAACAAGAATAGATAAATTGGTCTATCCACAGGCTAAAATAAAAAATATGAGCTAAACGTAGTAACCGGACCAAAATATGTCTGAGATGTACCGTAATAGCACTCACAACACCGACACATTCTTCATTATCAGCACCCAAGTTACCGATACAGCCCTCATCAACCTTTTTGTTAGCCAACGCCAGAAAGTTAGTTGCCTCTTGGATGAATGATTTATTGAGCACTTTTCATACGCAGAGGGGTTTAAGTCAGCACACATCCAATGGAGTCACTTCTTACACTCATCACATTTCATTCCTTCCTCCACACGGAATAAACAGTATGGCTTTCCACATTTGGGAGCAGAGCCGACTATGTTAAAGATCGACCAAAAATGGATTCGAGAAACATTTCAAAACTTGGCCTCAAAAAATCAAGTGAAAGTCGACCAAGCGTGCTTTGATAGGACAAATACACGAAAGCAAACCCAACACACATAAGGTTAGAATAAGCACGATTTTTAACATAAACTGCTTCTATTCGTCTCAGTGACTTAAAGATTCGGAGATCTTGTAGTGGCATTGGGCCCTACCACGAGACAATATGAGAAATAGACATTAAACATTTAACGCGGAGAAATACAGAAGAATGGAGAAGGCGGGGACAATAATTTGAATTGGTCCGAGTTGATCGGATGGCATGGCTCGGCCTTGCAGGCGTGTTCCCAGCTGAATGTTATCTTGTATCTTCTATTCATATTAAATATATTCTATCTCTAGCCTAAGCTTGTTCTCTATCACGTATTGGTAATTGTTACAATGCAATGAATCGGTGTAGACGATGATGTAATTTCCACGTAAGATCTTATAGATTAGGCAGTTATATCATGATAAATCTACAATTTTAGGATTAGGTCTATTATTAGAGCAGTGCTAATATCATAGTAGACCATAATTCTACAATCTCTTCATTTATACACTTCATGGCCCTATAATTCTTTCAACTTGTATGAATGCACTTTTAATACTAGTGGAATTAAATCCATTTCACTATAAAACCGGTCCAGATAGGAAAAATGAAATACATATTCCGAGCAGTCTCACTAAGTAAACGAACTCTTTCCTTTTTGTGTTAGCTATCAGAACATATCGGTCAAGTAGCACACTGACAGCAGTAATACTCATATACATCGAACTTTATAAGACCACTATACGTGCTTGTTGAAGACAATACAATTAGGAAACCCTAAATCCTTTTATAAAAACATGGTATTCCCAGCACTGTACAGATTAAGGTATAAAACACACAGTTTTCAGGCGATTCATACATGTTGTTTCAATTTTGACGATGGAATTCTGAACTCAACAACGAACAGCAGCACATTAGGGGCTTGTATTCAAGCGGCATCTCAACCTCAAGTTCACAGTCACGAAGTGCAACAATCGAATGAGCCAACCGATCCTAAAATACACTGGTTACTCCATATCCTGCCGGGGGCTTGACCCCTCCATTATTCGCACAAATAGCACACTCAAACCACGACTCGAACTCCATTCTCCCCTGGTTTATACAAGATGCGACAGACTAAGACCCTCGCGACATCAACAGGGAGCCATCCTCCGCTCTGACACTACTTACAAGAGGCGCGCCGGACCACCTACTTGCCCATAATAGAACACTGGACAGGGCGAGGTCGAGACTGGACCGCCGACCCCCTTCCTTCTTAGAAACAACGACCGGCACCGGAACCCTATTCAAGTGGTCCCCGTTACGACTCATCTAGACCATCTCTTCCCAACGAGTACCTGTTCTGTGTACCATGTCCTATCGCACCATAAACCCCACCCGCCGGTTGCAACGGAATTTAGCCGAAACAACCGGACCACTCCGCTTCTATGTAGAAGGAATTGACCGTACGAAGCCCTTCGACCACTCTACTTTCGTGCTGGTGACCCATCACCGTATATTCATGAGCACATTGCACAAGCTAGCACCAAATGGGATATCATCTTCTCGATGACTAATCAGATTAACATCCACATGGACTTCAAGTCAAACACACCTGCAAAATGACACTCTCATTTAACTGCAAACCATGCTTAGCTGACGCAATGAACACACAAACCAAGGACTCAAGCTTGTCTACACGTTATCAAGAACCAACAGGTGATTGTTATTTATTAACAGGTATATTTTACTGAAATTAAATGCAAGTAAGTGTTTAAGACCATCCGCCATACCACTGGTTGGCTTTGCCTCCAACATGCTCGCCAGATCCCATACTTCCATACCCACCATAGGTGCCGCCGCGGGAAGCGCTACAAGGAAAACAAACATGATATGTTAGGAAGAGATCAAGTGATCTCGGGACGAGGGAGTAAACATTAATCCAACTGTGCAGTAGCCAGGTTACGGCAAGCACCGCTTTCTCTGCTTCAGTCCGACACACACTAGTAATACAAGACCATGTGGCGGGCTTTGAGCCACACCATTTTTGTTAGGACTATTGGCACCATTCGGTTGCCCGAACCGACGTGGGTGAGTCGAAGATTGAACTTCAGACTTACTACGAGTAGCCTCTCCGCTCACGACGAATCCCTACATCTCTTGGAAGGCCATTCACAGCTAGCATCTCCAGTGGGTGCACTTCGATATAGGCAACCCCGTTCTGTAGAAATTAATGTGAAGCATACTCTCTACAAACTAGGGTGGCTACTCTTAGCAACTAAGTGGATTGTTACAGCTCGGCTGATTCAACACTGGAGCATCTGACCGAGGCCCCAAAAACAACGATGGTCTCCCAGCTTTTAACACGTGTATAATTTCTGAACTAAGTTGAACAATAGCTCGGGGTGAGTTTTTATTACGTAGTCAACCCTGAAGTACACAGCTGGATCCTAGTTCTTATAAACTGCTTAAACTTTCACAAGTTCTGATCGTTTTGTGTCGCGTTACGTAGTATAACATGAAATGACTTACCTTTGACCACCTGCCATGTCACCCGATCCACGCTGGCTCCCACCATACCCAGATCCACCGTAACCTCCGGAAGCCATGTTGCCCGACCCACCGTATCCAGGGCCACTGAATCCTCCCTGTCCAGTCTGGTCAATGCCTCCGTATACTCCGTTGTCGAATCCTCCTGACCCGTCATATCCGCCTTGACCACCGTAGCCTCCGTCTGTGGAACTACTATAACCACCTGGAGGACCCATCGAGCTGTTACGACCGGCAGGAGGGGGAACGGGTGCAGGGCCTGAAGAGCCCATCATTCCTCGTTGGCCTTGAGCGAGGGGCGCGCTTCCACTCATCATTCCGCCGCCGGAGCGAGGTCCTCTACCGCGACCTCCAGGGATCGGTCCGCCACCCATAGGACCCATCCCTCCACCTGGTCCCATTCCTCCTCCCATAGGGCCCATACCGCCACCCATCGGCCCCATTTCACTAGCACCCATCATGTACGGACCTCCCATGTTATAACCCATCGGCGGCATGCACCCAGGTCCGCGGAGAGGCATTCCTTGAGCGAGTGCTGCTGCAGCTTCTCGAGACAACCAACCGCCATAGTTGAGAGCATCACCTTCACTGAAGTTGGCAGCGTCATAATCTTCACGGCGGCCACGAGGAGGAGCAGACTGAAAAGCACAAAACACAACATTGTGTCAGGAACACAGACAACACAATAAATACAAAGTAACTGGTATTACTAGATGCAGTAACCACACCCATACCACAAAACGTCAGCCAATGCACTCGAAGGCGCGACACAACACTCCCAGATGTTAGTGCAACACACCGTCCGTCAATACTCTTGGTTTTCGAGGTTTGACTGCAGGTGTGCAGTGCGATTGATTGTCGATAGGGTCGTGACAGTACGACTCGTGTACGACCATAGGACAGCCGACCTGAATATCGCGATGGATTCAGGTTTGTGGTTATCAATGAGTTGGTTGTGGAAACCGATTGGGGAGTAAAAATGACCGAGCTAAACGTCTGTGCTTACCTCTACTGCTTCTATCACAGCTCTCAAACATTGGACGACATTGTCTGGGTCAGCAACCATCTGTACAACTCGGTCAGTAGATAACGGAGCCAACATCTGGTACACCTTGATAACACGCATTTTGTATTTCTAAATTTCATGTTTTAGCAAACGCCAACAAACTTACATCACGAAGGTCCTTAATACGTTCACCGCCTCGACCGATTACAGACCCAGCTTGGCTTTCGTGCACTAATATTCTGAAGTCAATCATGTTTTCGTCTTCCTCATCATCTCGCTCTGGATCTTCACTTCGTCTCGGGCGGCGTCGAGATCCTTGGGCACCCATTATGCGTTTAGGGTCGGAAAGTTTGGCATTCATTATATCCTTCGAAGTCAATTTTATTAAGTTCACCTTACCTTCAGTTTCGGACAAACATCGCGCATGATGCTGCAGATAGCCTGCAGGTCACCTTCGATAGTCATTATCCTATCGGAGAAAAATCAAGTTAGTATGGGAAAGAAGGAAGGAAACAAAAACTTTAATCGTATAACGAAGCTCATGACACCCTTCCATATAGTGACAGTCGTGGAGGGCTTGGAGAACTAGACAACCGTCTGAGGGTTATCATCAAAACTTGTCTAGGTTTTTACACAATAGAATTGAATGAATGACTAAGTCACTGGGATTTCCAGTTACAACAGTAACTCGTGGGTTAGCTGGTAGTTAAGCAGTCAGGAATGACTTTGCAAATCATATCCAAAAAGGGCTTTACAAATACATTAATGAACCAAAAACATGAAAATAACAATTTAGGCAAACTAATTAATCGACCGAATAGACATCAAGGTGACATTAAGTTTCTGGGTTACCCTACCGTTCAGGGCCTCTGCTGTCGGGAATATTCAGCTTGACGTTATACTGAGACAATAAATGGGATAAAGCAGGGCCGGTTTCAGTGAGCCAGAGTCATCAGTTTGAGAATAAGGCAGGCATGTGGTACCAACCCAAACCATTGGGTTATCAGAGGAGATTGACCAGATTCAGCGAGTAAGTGTCCGGAAGGTGGAGGAACCGTAAAGAATATAAAACAAAGAATCGAGTCAGTTGGTGCCAAAACAGCGATTGAGCAAGTCACTAAATGAATTATGAAAGAACAAACCTGTGACCGTATTTTTTTGATATTTTCCCCACCCTTCCCAATCATTATCCCTGCAGCCCTCCCAGGAATAAGAAATCTGATGGAAACATTTGTTAAATCAACGGAAGAACGCTGGAATTTTGACGGAGGACCATCTTGGTTGTTTCCTGAGTTATCCCGTTTCATGGCGGCTATGGTGAATGGCTACCGGCTAAGTGGTAAGCAGACAAACAAACGGGTATATTTAAACACCATTCAACATAGAGTGGTTCAACAGCTCAAATAAAATGCAATGGAGAAATCCATTCAATTCATACTTTGTGTATCAGATAATTAGTTATATTATGTAATGCTCTATTACTGAATTTAATTGAATCTCTATGTGTTTGTCTCATTTACCTTCAACAGCTTTTCATTTAGCATGATCTTACAATATCTTTATTTGTAAATAACTTTCATATGCAACAGAGTAATACTTGTTATCGTTATTTTTACAGATATGTATAACTCTCTAGGTTGTTTTTTTTTCACACTTCCCTGGATTAACGTTAAAATATCAGATTTTTAGTGGGTCTTACGAAATCTTGACAAAAAATCTGCTCTAATTCTTATTCTTTGATTTTGGAGATTGTCATTAGTTACATAATTGTGCTTATATATTTTTTCTTAAATGAAGAAACTTAATAAACGTTTCTCAAACCTTAAAATAATACAAAAGATGTGACAGGTATTCTTAGTTTGACAACGCTTTTACACGTAACACCTCTATGATTGAAATATACCAACCCAGTTTAATCAGAAATCAGAAATGAAAGGGTTTGAAGATATATTTAGAAAGTTACTGATATGCTGAAAAGCGTTTGGTTTAAGCTGACTAGCAGTTGCAAGGGATGGGCAGCACGAAATACTCACTCGTGATCTGGTACGGATACGTGACCAAGTGCCTTCAAACAGCGTGTGTCCAGTAAAGTAATGAGGTCAGCTTTAATGTCGAAAACTTATACAATTTATTTAATGCTACAATACTAATACTGAGCCGTGAAATAATAGATCATGGACATTTCAATTCCTTGATTAAATCCTTAGACACATTCAGGTAGGTTAAGATATTCAGGCATTACAAAGCTAATATGAACACAAATTTACAAATGTTATAATAGCAAAACTTTCTAACCAAATATATAAGTGTGAATAATTGAATGATATGTTTGTTTGCACCTTACCTAACAAGTTTTATAACTGAAATCCATTGAATTTATAGAGCAAAATGGATGGTCTTTCATGACTGACTTCTCCTAACATTCAGTGATCATAACTTAAACGGAAGAATTCTTCAACCAAGTAGGATTAGAACAGTAACAATTAATTAATTTCTTATTATTTATAGTTGTCCTTGTGACTATCAGTTCATCTGATAATTCACAACATGTTAAATGTAGTTATGTTATTTAAATTGTTTTACGTAACTGTGTTTCTATCACAACATTTATGAATATTCTGTTCAGTTTGAGTAAAAACAAAGATTCAGTACTGTCAGCTGATGTGTATGTTGCGTGGAATCGATTCTCGATTGACTATGAACATCACTAAAAGAAAACTACGTGCCAGTTAACCAATAAGATTCCCGTAGGTCCATATCAAAAAACAGATGATGGCTGTAGACGAGATGTATTTGCTGGCGATCTCGTGGTATCGAAAGAATACCGAGATCGTGCCAGATTACAAGTGGGGTTATTGAGCGTAACCGAATTCGTACAAGTTCAAAGTCAACGAGAGAGTGAGAGTAATAGCTGTCATTAGCACAGTTAAACAAACGAGCACAGTAAAACAATCACTGGTACAATTGGTTATAATAATAATCGTTTTCATTAAACCAATCGCGTTCTCTTGATAGAAGTTAATCACTACATGTATACGAACCTTTAGATAGCCAATACATCCCTTGCCCAAAGAATACATCTCTTTTAAAATTGATAATCATAAATCAACTTCTCGGAATATAATACAACATGAGTGTTACGGAATCTCTCGAAAGAGTTCTTTGCAACTATTGTTCATTGTAATAAAAGTCATAGAGTAACACAAATGTTTTCACAACAGAACAAACACTCCATAGATTCTATCTGTGTTCTTTTTTTTAATGGTACTTAGAAAAAAACATGTCATGTAGCAAAGAGTCAGGCAAATAAACAACCAGATGAACATTCAGGTAAGGATGTAATTAACAAGAATAAAGTACTGAAACCGCAGAAAGAGGAGAAATTCTTCCAAATATTGACTACAAATGAAACAAAGAAATGTTGATCTCTGCAATAGTAAGTAAACATAGATGTATGTTTTTGTCATTAAAATGAACTTGGAAGCCTTATTGAAGTAAACTATAAACAATTGAATATACTTTTTTGGACTATTCATTCAAATGATTCTAGATACCATCTGTTAAAAAAAAAAACTATGCTAACCAATATATCCAATCGCATACATATGTGATAATTGTTAAATGTAAATGAGTAATTGTATAGATAAATGAATAAGAATCAATGTGTAAGTTGAATAGATAACTGTATTTGATTATTGATGTAGTAAAATTTAGACAGAAATCTACGCCAAAATGCCCTGGTACGGCCCAGAGTATGGAGAGTCCACTCCCCCTCTTGAAATGCCCTCACATGGCCACGTGCATACAACCACTGCCAGGAAAGTCCTACTTATTGTCTTCTCGTGGTAGGGGTGTTTTTCACGAAATTGAGAGGACGAAAAGCGGATCTCTCGAGCTTTAACCAGTTTGGTGGACACAGTAGATTCACTTAAGTTAGTTGAAAAATCCTCATTGCAAACCATTGGTGTAAATGGACTCGAGGATCCTGAAAGAATAAATGGCGTATGAACCAATTATTGGTCACTGGTTATCATGAGACTGCATCTTCTGACGTTGCTCCACTACCTTGCGGATCAAACATTTAGGTCAAAGGCTCGGGGTGTGACCCCCTAAGAAAACTAACTTCTTCGGTTTGGACACCCGGGCAGTATTCCAGCCGAATGATTTATGTGGCGTATATCTGTTTGGTGCCTTCTTGTACCTTCAATTAAAACTTTGTTAAATTCATTAACTAATCTAAGATAATGATTACTAGAATGATAAACTTAAAGTCACTATATTTTATAATCAGTGATATTACTAAACAGAAATCTAATAAGTAGTCAGGTCATTATGATTTAAAATTTTTAAATTACTGAGAAAAATAAAAAAATAAAACATTTTTGTCAAATACGAAGATTAATACATATAGAGTGATGTTACTTACATCTATACACGTCATCACATTGAAATGAATAATTACATAATAGTTTCGATTATTTACTTAAAACACATGTGTCTTATGTATTATTAAGCTATGTGTTTACAAGTAAAAATGGATGTTGGCTAGCAGTGGAATCTAAGATGTGCGTTTCACTCTATTTAGGAAGATTCAAATAGACAATACAGAATGAATTCAAAAAACTTCACCCCATTGTACAAGTAGGTGGCTATCAGGACTCAGTAGCTAAGTGAATAACGTAATGGAGTTTGAAGCGAACAGTATTGGGCTCGAGTCCTGGAGTGAACATCAATTCTAGGACGTGGTAGAAACATCCAGCTGAAGAGTCCATAATGGGACGAAACGTGTGTCGTGGGTTGTGATGTTGGCCACCATCCATCTTTGCTTATAACGCTTGTAACTTAAAGCAATATCGAGGCAATCTGTACAGGGTAAACTTACGAATAGCTAAGGCTTCTATGAACCTGAGAATTCGTCCTTCACATTTGCTATACAGCGTTTTAAAAGCTGTATTGATGTCAGTTCTGTGCCCCGTTTCAATTATGTGGTTCTCTATCGATGGACATGGTTTTCTACGTCCGTCGTTGATCGTAACATTTGACAATAACTGGGTTTGAAGCCGTCTAGGCACATGTTCAATAACCCTTGATTGCATTGTCCGATTATTCCTCACAATGTATGTATGTCCGCACATACACGTTAATTGATAAATACAATGTTATGTGACTTAATCACTCGTGCATTGTCTAGGTCCATTTGGAATAATGGGCTTAGTCTTTTCAATCACAATCAGTTTAGCAGCATAGTGGGTTTTCTCTATGGCTGCTTTCAATCTCTGTTTTGGAACCATATTGTTAGATTCGCCTCTATATGGTAGATATATATAAACAGTTTCCTTCGAAACTGAATAAACAAGATGTTTTAGGGTTGACTGACTTTTGCACCTATTTATAAACTTTAGCGGATAACCATTTCATATTAATGTGCAGTCAGCAACTTTTCATCTTCTTCAAGCGTATCTGTGGTGCATATTTTGTGAATCCTATTAGAGAGGTACTTAACTAAATTGAAATGGACAGAAACTGTGAACATTTAAATACTGACCAGTCGAAGTTAGCTTCCTATAAACTAACCGTTTTATACTTCCATCCTCTTTTCGACTCAAAAGTATGTCTAAAAAGGGCAGTTGGTTATTCTTTTCTGCTTTGTAGGTCATTACGTTATTGTTCCGTACGCCATTGAGTTTATCTAATAACTGATAAACTTCAAAATCTTTATCACATATAACTAATATATCATCCATGTATCTCCGATACAAAGTTACCTCTCTGACGAGCTCACTTGTCATATTTTGAACAATTATCTTTGATTATTCTCTTTTGACAGATGAGTGTACTCAACTAAGCATGATAACTAACTGAAGCCTGAAATGTCTCATAATTAATTATATAACGTAACAATTAATCACGTTAGCTCCTATAAGTCTTAAATACTTCCAGATGATGAACATTAACAATCATTAGATCTTATTTTAGAATTGCCTGGAAACAACTTACAACCATTGAACACCGTTAATCATGTTAGATTGATAAAATTGTTTCTCACCATTGAGACATAATATGCCTAAATAAATAATACTTTGGATGAAATTGTAGTGATCTACTTTTATGAAGAGAACGCGATTGGTGTAATGGAAACATTTATTATTATAAGTAATTGTACCAGTGATTGTTTTACTGTACTATATTGTTTAATTGTACCGAAAACAGACTTTTTTCGTTGTTTTTTTTTTTATTGTGACCATGAACTTAGACGCGTATACACGGTAGTCTCGCCTGTAAACTTTGGCACGATCTCGGTATTATTTCGATACGACGAGATCACTAACAAATATATCCTAATTACAATCTACAACTGTCCTTCTCATATTTATCCTACAGAGAAGTTTAACCTGGTAATTGGCACGTCATCGATCTGTAGTGATAATCATAGTCAACTGCGACACGACACTACCACAAAATCAATTATTATTAATTCGTTCCCTTATTGATTAAGTTATAGCTATTGACTGTAATACAGTTGGATATTTAAAAGAAGGGTCAAATATCGTTTGAAATACATCACTACTACATACTTATTACACTAAGTAGTTATTATATCTAATGAGTATTTTGAAACTGTTCGAAAGGTTCCATCAAGTCTTGTAACTAAACTGAAGCAGTCATGCGTCATTTATGTATGAATATTATTATTACTATTATTAGTGTAGGATATATTCATTTTTACATAAGTAATGGAAATTTGATACATTTCATTGATAAATAAACAACCCCCTCTTTTTTTTTCTTTTAGATCAAAATAAAATCGTATGATAAATATTTTTGCCTTAGAAAATTTAATAGTTTAATTCATGAGTCGATCTAAGCTAGACCATCATGCAAAACTTGGAAGCATTAGACGGCCATTTCGTCCTAGTATGAGACACCTCAGCAGTATGCACCGACGATCTCATACGAAAGGGAGTTGAACACAGAACATTCGGTTTCACAAGTGAACACTTAATCTTTAGGCCCGTAAGCCGTTATCCAACGGTGTTAATGTCTAACTTCAACCAATTCACGAAATTGTACCACTGTACACCATTGTCTTCAGTGAGTTACTATCTCACAACAGACATGGTTGAACTCCACTGGTCATGGCTTCTCACTAGAACTCCAGGAAATCCATGTTGAAGCCAGTTACTAATGAGCACATGATAAATATTATAAAAAAGCTTTTTTTTAATTCTTTAAAGCAATCTCTTTAATTCAATGTTTCTAATCAATGTTAATCGTAAAAAATTACATTGATGTATTATTATTATTATTCTGATTCTCCGATACAACACAACACACACCAATCAAATCACACTTGACGGAGAAGCTTTGGGGTATGTAAAAACATTTACATATCTGGGCACCATCATTGATGTGCACAGTGGATCTGATGCAGATATAAAGGCGCTGATCGGCAAAGCAAGAGCAGCATATTTACAACTGAAGAACATCTGGAATTCAAAACAACTTTCTGTCAACCAACACCAAAGTGAAAATTTTCAATACAAATGTCAAGAAAGTGCTACTGTATGGAGCAGAAACTTGGAGAACTACGAAATCCATCATCCAGAAACTACAAGTTTTTATTAACATTTGCCCAAACAAAATACTTCAGATCCGTTGACCAGACCCTATCACCAACAACCTACTGTGGGAGAGGATAAACCAGATTGCGGCGAAGGAAGAAATTAGGAAGAATTGATGCAAGTGAATAAGACACATATTGAAGAAAGCAACCAACTTCGTCACAAGCCAATCCCTCACCCAGAGTCCTCAGAGGCCAAATCAGAAGAGGAAGACCAAAGAACACATTACGCCAAGAAATGACAACAGACATGAGAAAAATGAACAACAATTGGATAGAACTAGAAAGAATGGCTCAGGACAGAGGTGGTTGGAGAATACTGATCTCTGTCTTATGCTCCACTAGGAGGTAACAGGTATAAATAACTAAGTATTATTACTATTAATATTAATGTAGGATACATTAATTTTTACATAATGATTGAAAATTTGTTACATTTCATTAACAAATAAACAACCCCCTAATTTTTTTTTGTTTTTAAAATCAAAATAACATCGTACGATAAATATTTTTTTTTCTTTTTCAAAGAAAAAAAGAAGAAAACGTAAAAGTAAATAAGAAATCTAATTGAAATTTGAGTAACTTGAACAAGAGGGGGGGGGCGAGAGGGGGAAAGAGAGAGCGAGAGCGAGAAAAAAAGAGAAAAGAAAGAAAGAAAAGAAGAAAAAAGAAAGAAATGTTTGTTCGGTCAACAATGATTTCTATTTACTTATAATGAATATGTATATATATATATAAATATTACTGAATACTTGATATTTTAATACTTAACTATTTTAACAAGAAAAAAAAAGAGAAGAAATTAAAGAGAAAACTTTATTAGAAAATCAAAATGTTATCAATTTCTATTGTTGGTACAACTTTATTACTTATAATCAGTTCACAATTTATTACAGGTTAGTGAATTTTAATTAGAGTTTCCAATGAAAATTAATTATAAACTATATGTTTTAAAGTTAAAGATGAATAGAATGTCAATCGTTGAGATCATGAGTCAATTGAAGTTAGACCATCTCATGAAGTTGGATCATAGATATTTACTGTTGAAGAGTCCCACAATAAGATAAAACGGCTGTCCAGTACTTTCCACACTTTCCATGGTGATCTAGCTTCCATTGATTCATGATCTAACCTATTGAAATTACTATAAACTTCACAAAACTACTTCTGATATGAATAAAATGATCTGGATGTAGATGAATCTTAAAATTGATGGTCATTTCAGAAATTAAATACAGTATTTTATATTTTAAGTTAGTCTATATTGAATGATGGGTAAGACTATAATTTATGGATGACCTTTGTGCGATGTTAAAGTGATCTTGACAGTGTTCACCTAATAACTAGAACTAAACGAGGGTTATAAACATGTGTCAGGAATTCGAATTATGATTTACAGTTGATGGTTAATGTTAGGAATTCCATTTGGGGTTTCTACCATAAACTGTCATCAGCTATAATGCCAACATTCTATTTAACCAAATAGATGGGTGAATTTTGCGTCAAAATCCGAGACCTGTTAACTTATATGTGATTGGTTCGTCCGTAAATTATAGCCTCGCCGAATGAGGATATGCCAAGTGAAATTGACTAAAATTCAGTTAAAATATCAACAATCGAATAATTTAAACCAATTGTATAAGTGAGTGATTTTGTGTATTCAGTAGCTAACTAAACAACATGTTGACATTTAAAGTAAAAGATACTGGGTATGAATGTCGGGTATAAATGTCAACTCTGGAATGTCCTGGATTCCATTACTACCTAGTTATCATTCATTCTATAAACCAGTAAGTGTTTCTTTAAGAATAGAGTTTTTCATTAAACCATTCTATTCAAATTTGATGGAATAACGAAATTCAAAATCAATGAAAAGTTTCTTTTTTTTTTACTGACATGAAAATGATTATAAGATCTGTTGATCAATATTTAGAAGAAGCAATCCGAAATCTTATCAATCTACAAGATTCTTATAAACATTCTTTTTGATGGAGTTTTTGTTCTCTCAGCTGAATGGTTTAGTCGTGAAGCTGATGATATCATTCAGAAGAAAGACGAAACCTCTATCAAAATCATCCATCTGAATTACAAATCTTCTCCACCATTCTTATAAACTTGATCAACTTATCATATTTACTTCATTTCTATACAATATGTTAACATCTTTATCAGGTTACTTTTAATTCAAAAGTATACAATAGCTGACCAACTAAAATCCTTTAGTTTAAGCTTAGATTTGATTCATTTGAATGAAAACATTACGAAATCATCATCCTTCATAGAATTAATATGGGACTATATTTTACATTAGCTCAGACAAACATTATCATAAATCGGGTATGATTATCGGTCAAATATTCAACATTCACCTACGGTATTATTAACATGAATTTAGAAACAGAAGGTAGTGATGATATTCAGAATAAATGTGACTTAGCAATATAAATCCTTCTACTTGAAGTTTGTACTGATGATGTCGTTCAGAAGAATGATGAAAGCTTCACGACTAAACCATTCAGCTCAGAGAACAAAACTATCAAAATATAAATGATCACTCGTGATAGATGAGAAATAAATATAGCTTTCCAATTACAAAGGGGGAGCACCAACATAATAAAATCGATTCAATAAAGTTTACTCTATGAATCCAAGATTCAAGAATAGTTTCTATACTATATAAAAGGAAGATTACAACTGATTACCATAGTTGATGTATCATGAACTATTAAAGTTCATTTACTAATCATCTTTTTATGACTAAGACATAAAAGTAAGTTGGATATACATACGTTTATTCCATTGAATGTTCATATTCAAAACCAGAGTCCTGTGTATATCCTAGATTTAAAGTTCGCTTTCTTCACTGGCTAACATCATTTCAAAAAAAGAACACTGAACAGTAGTTCTGATACTCTTGAATGAGAAATAAAACTTAAATCTTCAAATCATTTAATAAAGAGGATAATATCCATTCATTAAGTTAAAAATCAATAATCTACTTACGCCTGTTACTCCTCGTGAAGGAGCATAGGCCGCTCACCAGCATACTCCATCCAACCCTGTCCTGGGCAATCCTTTCCTGCTCTTTCCAATTGTAATTCATCCTTTTGATATTTGATTCTATTTCTCGACGTAATGTGTACTTTGGTCTTCCTCTTTTCCGCTTCCCTTCAGAATTCCATGTTAGCATTTGTCTCGAGATACAGTTTGATGATTTGCGTAATGTATATCCTATCCATTTCCATCTATAATTCCTAACTTTAATTGATTATTGATAGATATGTTCATTTTATTTGTTATTGTCAATATGAACCTACTATCTAGTTTACCAATATCTAATGTTTATTAATATATATTTTGTACAGGTTTCGGTAAGTTAATATCACAATTCTTTTCTAAAGCATTTTATCACTGTATAATACATAAGACTATTTATCAAAAATATAAGTGTATATTGTATAGAAGAATAAACATGTATTCAATGGCATTTCTATTACAATTACTTTGAATGGAAATGAATGTGTGGTTTCTATTTAAGAAAGTTTTCGTCTCTAATTCATCAGTAAGTGTATACTGTCTGTTTATATCATTTGTGGATGTGGGTGTGTGTGGGGGTGTGTGTATGTGGGTATGTTCCATTTTATATCACATTTATCAAATGACTAGTGAACTTAAAGAAATGAAAAAATCAATTTGTTTAACTGTTACAGTTTCTATGTAGTAGATGATATACTAATCATTGTTTGAATCATTACACTTAATAATTAACTATTACAGTAGATCTATTCACTGGTAAATAGCTCAAAACTATACTATTTATACAATAAAGGTGACCAACTCTACTCATAAATTCACTTGAGTATTTCATAAAGACTTTATAAATTCATCTTTCTTTATAAATTAATTCATTATAACATATGTGAATCTCTATTCTTAATCATTCACATTCATATTCTAAAATCTTTGTCAGTTGTAAATGAAAACAGTACTACAAAGTAAGTCAATATCTGAATGTTAATGATCTAGAATTAAGTGAATTCATTTGTAGAACTTAAAGTTTACAGGTTTCATATTACGTGTCTCGCGTTCACGGGCGAGACTGATATGTCCTAGGTTCGAATCTCGCGAGGCGGAATCGTGGGTGCCTACTTCTGAGGAATCCTACAATAGCGATAAACATTAAGTGCACGATCGACCAGTGTTTCCAGGTTTTCAATGGTTGTTTAATTTAGATTGACTCATGAATTCATCTATCAAAATTACCATAATCTCCACAATCCCCCCCTTTCTAACCATAATATTTTATTTCACATAGTTACAGCCAATCACTAACACTGATCCAGGAGTCGAAATCAATAAGCGAAATTGAGTGCCTGTCTGTCCACACTCAATGACCAATCACATTTACCTTCATTGTCACACACCAATCCCCCCTTTAATACCACTACATTAGATAATCTCCAAGATAATTCTTACTAGTCCCAATTTCACTTCATGCCAGGAAATCTCGATACAACCTAGTATTCACAGAAGTTCTTATGACGATAAGAAACAATCGTCAAGTCAATATAATTGATAATAACAATGATTTACAAAATAATAATGCTAGGAAGTAATTTAGATTTTGTGGATATTATAGTAATTTCAATAATTGAATTCATGAGTCAATGAAAGCTAAACCACCATGGAAATCTTAGAAGCATTGGATGGCTATTTCGTCCTAGTATAGTACTCCTCAACAGTGTGCATCCATGATCCCACCTTGAGGGATTCGAACCCAATCAATATATTAATCAGTTATTAGTATTTTATTCAATTTATACATTTTATAAATAACTCTATTATTGTTTATATTATTTTTAGTGATAAGCTTGAAGAGTGAGTTGTTTGTTCATTTCCTAAATCTGTAAAATAACTGTTTCTGGAATTTCTAAAATCCAAAGATTAAATGATTAGGCTATACACATTGATATTGGTTACTATCTAACAGTCATTTGTAAAGATGTAGTTTAGTGTTAAGGGAGAAGACTAGACACTTTGATGTGACGTAATGTGTACATATGACTTAAACTTCCTTCTAATAGTTTCATTGATTATTTTTTGGATTGATTACAGTTAGACACTCACTGAAGTCAGGAAGCATTAGACAACTTTCTATGTCTTACTATAGGACTCTTTAACAGGATGAATCCAAATCCTAATTGAAGGTTGAACTGAAGATCTTCAAGTATCATAGCAACAGTTTAACCTTTAAATCATTGTACTGGCATCCACTGATTTACAGATCTACCATTTAATCCATCTGTGATCCTATACAGGTAAAAAGATCGAGTATAGAATTACATTTACTGAATTGTTTAACAGGTTCAATTTGTCATAATCAATTAAACTACAACGAACGAAACAAGATGTTATTATCACCAGTTGGTATTAGCTATTAGCTAATACAAACAACATTTAATAGGGTAGACTTAATTACAAATAACTATCAAAACATTTTATGATCTTTATAAACGATCGGGTTACACAAAACCGATTTTTGATTAATGTAAAGTAGGTTTATAAAAACTATTATAAATAACTTTTTAAAAAGTTGAATTCATAAGTCGACCTAAGCTAAATCCCCATGAAAAACCCGGAAACACTGGATGATCGTCTTATCCTAGTATGGGACTCCTCAGCAGTGCATATCCACGATCTTACACACAGGACTCGAACCTCTAGACCACTGAGCCGTTATTCAACGATGTTCATGTTTAACTCCAATCGATTCATAGTCTCGAGCAACCACCACATACGGGATTGTGGATATTAATTTCCTATACAGAAAAGTTAAATTAGTAAATAACTGAACTATATTTTTATCCTTAAGTAAACTGAATTGTTGTCATATTTCATTCTAGTTAGCACAAATCAACTTGATATACCTATACTCGGTGACACTGGATTTAATACTTATATCATTATTAATAAAGGTTTAGACGATTCTATAATCGATATCTTTTATTGATAATCTTTGTCTTACCTTAATAATAAGTACTGCTTCAATGTCAGCGTACATTTCTACCAAGACGAACTGAAAGATTTAATTGATAAAGAGAATTACACTGAAGGTCTATGATGTAAATTCAATCATGTGGATTAGATTATAATTGATCTTAATGCATTACCTTTCATTTATACAATATAAAATCAGGCTTCAGATAGGTTTGCTTTGACATTATATACATACATATATTTTAGATCACAATTTTTCTTTGCCCCGTAAGACATTTTGTATGGAACTTGTAATTTTACTTTGAAAATAGGGTCCTTTGATGAAATGTATGTTATTAATATTGTGAATACCTACTTTAGATTTCAGTACTTCTTTAAAAAGTCAGTTTCATGAATCTGGTTAGATACTAAAAACGCTGATTATTTTAATTATCAGTTTAGGGGTTGTGCAGATTGTCAAGTTTTTGATTGAGATCATGAACCGATTGATTTTAGACCATCATTGAAAACCTAGAAGCACTGGACAGCCGTTTCTTTCTATTTTGGGACTCCTCAGCAATGCGCATCCACAATTCCGCTCGCGGTATTCGAACCCAGGGCCTTCGATCTCGCGCGCGAACGCTTAACATAATGGACCACTTAGCCGGCATCCAACGGTGTTAATGTCTAATTTGTACATCTACTATCGATTGTCTCTTGCAAACTTTAACTTTCATTCTATTCCTATTTTTATTATAAATACCCTCTGTTAACATTTATGTTCTCTTCGACTCGATCTTCTCAAACTTCTGCTATCAGACATTGCACTTTTAATTGATGTTATGTACTACTTATGTCTGTTGTCATGAGTAACATACACTACAATTACAGTAAACGAAGAAAATATCATACAAAGAAATTTAATTCTAATCAATATGGAAGTGATTTGTGATAGTCATTTGAAAAGACAATGATTATGTAACATTGAATATGAGTTACTTTAAGGAATGATGATAACAAGTAAAACTCTCTTTTGGAGGTTAGTAAAACATTTACAAACCATATTCTCCAAACATTTTGTTTAACATATATACACACTTGAATAAAGTGTATAATATATGGTCAGATAATTCGGATAGTTCAGGCGAATCAGGCAGCTATCGTTAGAGTGCTACGTCAAGGGTTTTCTAAATTGTGATGATCATTTTAAGACTCCCATCTGAATCGCTCATGAATCAATTGAACTCAATAACTGTGAGAAAAACAATGAATTAGACTATGGAAGATTCTGTTCTGGTGAGAATTATCAATGTCAGTTGAATGTTCGAACAGTATTAAGTAGTGAAATGTCTTCTATGAATACTTTCGAGTACTTATGATCAGTCTATGGTTATAGTTGTAACGGAAGTAATTTGTCAAAATATATATTCTTTTAGAATCTTTAACCTTAGGGGTTAACCAAATAAGTCTTACATGTTGACATTAGTCAACTTTGTATGTTTGTACATTCAACATGACTATACTTTTCTTCCGATCTAAACTGGTAGAATGGTTACCAATAGTCCATTCATAGAACAATCAAAACATATCTATAGTATCATAGCAAGATTTGGTGAGACTATAATTTATGGACGAACCAATCACACATAAGTTAACAGGTCTCGGATTTTGGCGTGAAATTCACCCATCTATTTGGTTAAATAGAATGTTGGCATTATAGATGATGACAGTTCATGATGAAAACCTCAAATGGAATTCCTAACCTTAACCATCAACTGTAAATCATAATTCGAATTCCTGACATATGTTTATAACACTCGTTTAGTTCTAGTTATTAGGTGAACACTGTCAAGATCACTTTAACATCGCACAAACGTTGTCCATAAATTATAGTCTCACCCAAAATTCGATAAATTATTCTCACTGTTCATATTTTCCCTACACTAGAGTGGTAACGACTCTTGGGTAAGTTGACTGAACATCCTTATAATCATTGATTTATTTTCTATTTGACCTTAAATATTAAAATTTATTCATCTTCACCATATGATTCACTTAAAATCTGTCGAAGATTTAACTTTTAATCGTGGACTTTCATAAAATATATCTGTAGTTCTGTAGTGAATGAAAATACCAAGTGGGGACAATCAAAGGTATTTTAGCATCACATTACAGAGTATTTTGGTGAAATATGTGAATCATACAGTAAATACTTCATTTGTGAAATATCCATCAATTGTCTCAGAGTTTGTTGTTCCTTCGTTTCCATACCAATCAGTCTTTGTTCTCGTTTTCTTCTCTTCGATCTTCTTAACTTTGTGCCACCTTGCATTCCACTTTCGATTGATGATACATGCTATTTATATCTGTGGACATCAGTAGCACACATTACTGTTCTATATACACATACACACACTATAAATGCTATAATTAAATAACAAATTGTAGAACAAAGTAAATGAGTTGTATCGATGTTTATGATGAAACTTCTGTGGAAGTTGGATATACCACTGACACATAGATGTTGAGTTACATTTCCAGGAAATAAACTTTGGTTTGGGTTAATATGAGAAAAAAACCTTCGACGATTTGTATCCTTTTGTACCTATTTTAGGCATACTTACCACAACAAAAAATGATATTTTATACCATAAATGATCTCCGAACTGAATTAGAATGATTTATTTGATTCATTAAATTGTAGTTCATTTATTAATTCAGACGCATTTTGAGGTTTCGTTGACAACTGTAAAACTTTAGACAAGGAGATATTAGATGCGAATATGGATAGTGGCTAGCAGTGGAATCTAGGATGAGCGTTTCGTCCCATTTGGGACTCATCAGCTGGATGTACATGCATCTCAGAGCTAATGTTTACTCTGGAACTCATTAATCTTTGCATATAATGCTTGTGAATTAAGGCAATATCGAGGCAATACGCACAGTACGCAGATATACCAATAAGAGACTGTTCAATTGCAATCCTAAACATCAATGGGAAGATTCAAGCAAACAATAATAAGTGAATTTAAGGAGATATTAGCTTCCAACTTTGGAGTATAAGAATAATCCTATTCAGTTTAAGTAAGCTTGATCTTTTTTCAAAACCTCACCAACATCATCAGTAACTACACAGTGTAATTTAAAGGAACAATTTCGATGAAATACATTATTAAGTAGAAACAGTAGTAAACTATGTTGGATATAGTGTAGAGTTATTTCCAAAGGTCAACTACTTAAGGTATTCAACAATTGGATACATAGAATGAACACATCCGAGTAAACTTAAGAGGCTAGGGATTTTTTCAATAAATTTCTGAGTATTTCTAAATTCAATTCAACTTAAGCTAAACAATGCTTAGTACTCAGAGATTAATAGGTATGTAGTAAATGAAAAAGACCACAGTGACAAATTTGAACAAATGTAACCACTGTCGATTTCACTGATTGATAGACTGATAGATAGATGAGACTTTCCTCAAATCCCATTAAACTAAATAAATATCTTTTTGCTTGAGATCATGAATCGATTGATGTTTGACCATCATTGAAAACCTGGAATCACTGGAAGGCCTTTTCGTTTTATTGTAGACTCCTCAGCAGTGTGTATACACGATCCCGCTCGCGGGATTCGAACTCAAGGCCTTCAATGTCACACACAAACGCTTAACCTCTAGATCACAGAGCCGGCATCCAACGATGTTAATGACTAACCTCAGCCAATCCATGAAATCACTTGACCATCTTCTATTGTACTGATGTAGATACCTGTCTCTACACGACGCGGACTAGCTTCACTGGTCACAGCTTCTCACTAGAACTCCTAGAATTCCCTCACAAAGTTAGTCACTAGTGAGCACATGGTAATTATCAGTATGGTGGTCTAATATCAATCGATTCATGATCTCACTCAAAAATTGAATCGTTTTCACAATCCCATACAATTAAATAAATATCATCTAAATTACACATATTTCAATCATATTATTCTCATTTTCAGAGCTCATTTGTTAACATTTTTAAGTGGATGCTTCTTGGATATTGGAAATTTGAAGAAATTAGTTTTTCCTGAATAAAATACAGGAATATGTCGTATACAAATAAAAGAAACTTCTGATAAAATCATTTTCAATTAAAGTGAAACATCTATTCTTATAAATAATAAATGTGTAAATTTTACAAATCTCTTATTTATTGAATCGTATTTTGAAGGCAGTAAAATACAATAAACATAAACGTAGATTTAGATTGTATTGAAAATGAGTACAATAGAAATGAATATACAATTGATTGATCACTGGATGATGATTAATGTCATGTGTGTCAAGTCCTTATTATTAGTGCAAATCAAATGCTATCGATCATGTTGTAATGTGGCCACGAGTTTAGGTGACTCGATACTGCGTACACTATTGTAAGATTAGATGGTGGTTGGAGGTAGTCAACAGGAAACTCTGGAACCGGGTTTCGTGATACTTGACACTCGTCAGCAAGGTGTACCTGTAATCTTTGAGGGAACTGGTGCTCCCTGGCGGATTCAATTCCGTGTTACCAAGCTTCGCAGTCAGAGACGTTACCGCTGAGCTATCCGGGCCGCAACCGAGCTCCTGTATACAAAGCATTTATCGAATAATACAAATGAGGCAATGAACAATATTAAAGGATTAAGTAAATTACATCAAACTACATCTCATCATCATCATCATAGCATTCAAATTATTATTTTAATAAATGAAATCATGATGACAAATAAAAGTTATTGTTGCTATGTTGTGATATGTTATCTGAGAGACTGTGAAGAAATTCCAGAGAGGAAACTTTTGTTGGGACAATCAGCAAGCTTTAAACAATCAAGTGTGGTTATGAATTATACAAACACATGTAAATATATTTCAAGTAATGAATGGGTTGGAAAGTGAACGCAATAACAATACAAGAAATACGAAAATAGAAATTTAACCGTGGTAGAATGTTTATTACTTTAGAATAAAATACACAATTACACAAGGATTATTTGAATAAATAAACAAATAAGTAAATGTACACACTAGTGACTGGCTTCAAGATGAATTCCTGGAGTTCCAGTGAGAAGCCGTGATTAGTGGAGTCCAATTCAGCTATCTACCTTAGACAACGGGTGGATGGTTGTGCAAGACCATTGGTTGGTTGAAGTTATACGTTAACACCGATAAATACAGGCTTAGGAGTCTAGAGATTCAGCGTTCGGGTACGAGACCGAATCTCAATCAAAAACTTAACAATCTCCACAACCTTATACTGATAAAAACTATTAAGAATTCGTATAAAGTGTTTTTATGGTAATCTGTTATGAAGCAATTTAGACCGCATATGTATGTGAGTAAACAAACAGTTTATTGGCATATAGAATTGGACTAATTCAATATGACATAAATGCTTGAAGATGCCATAGGTATTTGGGGTTTGACAACGCTTTAACCAGTAACACATTATAATATGAATCGTACTCACCAAGTGAAATCAAAAGACAGAAGCGAGGAGGTTCGAAGATATATTTGATAGGTTATCAATATATCGAGGATCGTCTGATCTAATCTGGCTAGCGATTGAAGGAGATGTTGATCACGGCGTTCTCACTCGTGATCTGGTGAGGATGCATAACCGAGCGCCTTCAGCTAGGTGAGTCCATTAAAACTAATATGGTCAGCATCCAATGTCGAAGACTTACAGAGCTATTTATATTGGGGATTTATTTACCGCTACATGTTAATATCCTCATGAAAATTGACGATAAAAATAACACAGAATAATGTATGATGAATAGCTAAATGTCTAAAGGATTGTTATGTGTTTAAATTGTGAAATAATGATAATTTGTGTAGTATCTAAAGTGTACGTCCATGTATGTATGTAAAATGTATCTGAGTATAATTAAATAATGAGTAAAATAATGGCGTGTACTACAGTGACAAGAAATAAACATACATACACATGGTTAATGAAGGAATGGACGTGATTATAGAGATATGACTGGCTGTAGATACTGTTTCAGTCAATGAACAAATGTACTCGACTTTGTTACTGTGTTGAGTGTTGTGGTAGATATTTTAGACAATACATATAGTGATACAAACTGTTCAATAAATCTTGAAGTAGGGAATCTGTTTTGTGTGTCGATGTCAACTGGCTTTCAGTTTGTTTACTCAGGAAGTGTCTTTGTTGTCATCACTGGGTAGTGTTTTTCTGACGGAATTGTTTGTGCAGTAATTTAGTTAGCAAGGAAAGTGTACTGTTCGTTGTTATCATTTAAAATAAGACATCTTCATTATGCTTAAATGTTGTTTGATAACTAGCACATGGTCAATTAAATCATACAGAGCACCGAAGACTGAAGTCAAAGACTCTTCAAGTAATCGTAATTTGATTTTGTTAACCGATTCTGTTATGCAACACCAATAATTTTCTTTATTTTCCATCTAATTTGTAACATGACCATATGAAGTTTTACAACCCAATGATTGTTAGTTATTAGATTAGTGAAAGCATCTTTAATTTGACGACGTAAGCATTACACCTTTCCATTGGACATGATGTGAATGAATAGTTTATTCACATATGATGTGAGATTAATCTATTATGACGTAAATTTCGATGACCATATGAGAGTTAACAGTTAGAATAGCACCGTGTAATATTCGGTGAACAGAGTAAATAAGTTGAAGACAACAAACTGCCCCTGATAAATGTTGTACAAGGTCTTTTTGCATGGTTTTGTTTGCATATGGGTGCCTGTCTATAAAAATCCCTCTACATATAAATTTTGATGTAACAATAACACTTTACCTTACTCTTAAATGAAAAGTTGTCATTTTAGATGCTTTTCGTTGCATTTTACGTTCACTTCTTGACTCGGGATGAGATTGCTACCATTTATTTTAATGTATTCTTAGTTCAGCATGCTATTTGTGCGGATATTTACGGATTATGCGAATGGTGTTTACATTTACCTAAAGCATGGTGGCTGTCATTATAGTTTTCTATATTTGGATTGTTGCTACTTGAGTCAAGTGTATTACATCATTTATATCCAATGATTTTTTGTAACGAAAATTGAAGATCAAAATTCTTTTCTTGACTTGCGGCGTTCATAAGTGCTCACAGTAATATTTGGCATCAATTGTGTCTCTGCATCAATAGTAAAAAAATGATATGAGAATTTGGTTGTTATAACACACACACTTACTCCTGTTGCCTCTCGTAGAGGAGCATAGGCCACTCACTAGCATTCTCCATCCAACTCTGTCCTCAACAATCCTTTCCACTTCTTTCCAGTTGCTATTCAACCTTTTGATGTCTGCTTCCGATTTCCGACGCAATGTGTTCATTGGTCTTCCTCTTTTCCTTTTTCCCTTCAGAATTCAAAGTTAGTGTTTGCCTCTTGATGCAGTTTGGTGATTTCCGTAATGTATGTCCTATACACTCTCAACATCCTTTCTTAATTTCCTCTTCAGGTGGGAGTCGGTTTGTGCTCTCCCACAGTTGGTTATTGCTGACGATATCCGGTCAACGGACATTAAGTATCTTACGTAGACAATTGTCTACAAATATTTGCACCTTTTCGATGGTGGTTGTAGTAGTTCTCCAAGTTTCAGCTCCGTACAGTAGAACTGTCTTGACGATTCTTGAAGAGTCTTGAAGATTCTGACTTTGATGTTGTCTGACGGTTGTTTTGAGTTCCATATGTTCTTCAACTGTAGAAACGTGGCCCTTGCTTTACAAATTCTCGCCCTTTCATCTGCATCAGATCCTCCTTGTTCGTTGATGATGTTGTCCAGGTATGTGGAAGTTTCCACCTCTTTTAGAGCTTCCCCATCAACTGTGATTGTGTTGGTGTTCTCGATGTTATATTTTAGGATTTTGGTTTTTCTTATATGTATACTGAGGCACATTGATGTAGCTGAGTCTGCTGCAACACTGGTTGTCTTCAACTGAATTTGTAGGTGTGTGTGGGATAGAAGGACCAGGTCATCTTTGGTATCCGAATCTTCTAAATTATTCCGGTTATTAAAAATAAACGCTATCTCCGTTGTTTGTTCTTCTGTTTTATTAGCCACGACCTCTTGACCGAATAGTATGATTATGTTGCAAGATATTTTTAGACTATTTTACACTACGTTAGAACTTTGGCCGGGATTCTTATCAAATAATACTGTCGGACATATCTTTCTCACCACGCCGTTTGTGCCACCGCTTGCAGAGGAATCTTTGTTAACTAAGTGAACTCATTTGTGGTTTGTTATCTCAGAGGCAGTTTACATGTGTCATACGTTTCGTAACAATTGTTATCATTTTGTTTATTTAGTATTCCATTTAGTTGTAAGTGTTATTTATTGCCGTTTCACCCTAGTCATAAACAGAGGCTTTGGTTTACAGTGTTAATTCATTTTGATATTTCATTAGTGACTGTCTGCATTGCTATATCTTGTGTAATCTCTTTTACTAGGATCCACCACAAGTGAATTTGACTACTGTTAAGATGGAAATACGCTCCTAGACTGGCTTGTTACAGAAGAACTGAAGACATTTGGCTGATTAAAAGCTTTATATTAAATATTATTAATTTCACTGTGTTTGTTGGATGTATTTGTTTTATTCAACTTCTGAACTTGTTTATTTATATCATTATTTCGGACATTTTGGTTTCTTTAGTCTTTGGTTTGGTATTTGGGAGTTTTTGCTACAAAATTGAAGTTTTGCTTCTATAATTGTTATAATTATTGTTCAGTCAGTCAGTCAGCTGCAACGTAGGACCAGGCACATATATGCATCGGTTCAAGTTGCCATACCGCATTAGCGCAACAAGATGAATACCGGATTCATAGAAGTAGTTAATTCAGTGGTGGTAATATATAGAAGAAAGATTGTGTATAAGGAGATAGTACAGGAAGAAAGAATTAGTTCCTAGAAAGAAAGATTTGAAGTGATTTTAATCTCTTAGTTTAAAGGAAGACAGAGAGTGTATACACCGACGCCATTGTGATCGATTCTCAGCCATGTCACCAAGAGTCTCTAACCATTGGTTACAATAGTCACGCGGACCCCAACCAGGCAGTCTGAATCTACCAACATGGCTCAGTCTAGACGTTAGTGTCTTCAAGCACTGATGCCACGTTTTGGTTTGGCCGCCCCTAACTTTCTTCC